TGAGGGGAGCGCCCGAGGCCGACGCGGAGCCGAAAATCGCACCTGGCGCCCGGGCGGGGCCGGCGCTCCCCTGAGGCGGCCTCGGGCGGGCCCCGCGCTCCCTCCTGCGTGAGGGGCTGCCGAGGCTGAGGGCGGCCTGGCTCCTCTCCTCACGGGCTGGGCCCGCCAACCGGAGCGAAGGGCCTGAAGCCGCAGGTAGGAGCCTGCGGCCACGGCCGCACCTCTCGCTCTCGTCCCCACCGAGCAGGGGTCCGGTGCTGGAGATGCTTCCGCGCCCCTGCGAGGCAAAGCCGAAAAATCTCCCCCTCATACTTTTCGTCTTAGGCCTGGGCACAGCCCAAAGCCCCCGAGGAACTTGGTGCACAAGCTGGGGCCGCGTGGTAGGGCGTCTAGTCAGACTGACGTCCCTCCACACCTAATGGCATCATGGCTTAAATCTCCACTTAAGGTGCCCAGGTCTCGACCATCGCTGGGAAGCCAGGTGTGCAAAGTCATTCCTTGCCCATTCCCCGTCCTCAAGCTGTTCGGGGCCAACGAAGCGAACACTCTTAGCATCAGGAAGATCACTCAGGCCAGCAGTTGCCTCACGACCGACAGACGCACTTGCAAGCAAGAGACCCAAGCTTGAGACCCCGCTGTAGTGCACATTTAAACCTTTATGCAACAGCTCTCTTCCCAGTGATCGATGCCGGTGTTTGCTGGTTTCTGCAGGGAGCTTAATCCCTTAGTGCGAGGGCAGGGTGTGCTCCAAGACATCTACCAGCTGGAGCTTCCTGGGACTGGCCTGGTTTGGGGGCTCTAACCAGGCTCAGGCATCAGCCACTTAGCTCTCTGTTAATGAGGGTGGGTGCCTGCAGCCTCATCTATGACAGTTGAACGTGGATTTGGGGGGATTGCTAACTGTGGTTCTATGGGTCTCTAAATTTTGTCTGTTGAGTTCAGTATTAGATGCCTGCACCAGTTTGTTGATGGCCCCTCAGCCTGAGTAAATCCACTTCTTACATGCCTAAAATTATGAATGTATTTATGGAGTCAAAATTCTTTGCAGCGTGCTGTGTGTATAGCGAGCGTTCCTGCAGACCTCTTTGTGGACACAGTTCTTCCATCGACGCCCTGCGGCAACTGAGTTCTTAAGAAGTTCCAGGACCTTTCTGACCCATGGTAGGGATTATCACCACCATCTCTTTGGGCTGTAGATTTGTTGCACTCTGAGTTCATCAATATTCCTTAATTTCACAATATGCATTGATTTTATCTTGGGTTATGTATTTAGTGTATTGTATTTAGAGGAAGAAAAAAACCTTGGAAACAGCTGTAACGAGTAAGGGGGTAAAACATTTTTGTTCACATGAATGAATAAAGTGAGACATAGACAGAGGTTTTGTATTTCTTTGTACTCAATATGTAACACTTTGGGTTTTTTTCTGCCTAGCCTGTAAAAAGTTTGCAGACAAAATGTGTTTTAAAGCCCGTTTCTTAGAATTTGTCATCTAAGCCTGTCATAAATGAAGCAGTAAACAAATACATGTTAGGAGCAAAGGAGGAGTACTAGCCACAGGGAAGCTTCACTAGCTTCATTATCTCAAGAAGTTCAAACAGATTTTATCACAAGTGAAGCCTGATGCCTCAAACACCTCTTACGTTGTCCTTAAGATATGTTTTGGACAAAGATTCAAAACCAGCTCATTAACACCATCAAGAATTTTCTGTGTGACGTATTAAAGTGATGCCGTCCACTTCATTCTAAGTAACAGCTTGTGGAGGGATCTAACCGTTTTAAAGGTCATGAACCTCTTTTAGCCCCTTGCTGCCCTGGTAATACCGTGAATATTCCCTTCCCTGTTCCCTATACTTGGCTAATTCAGTGCTGTAATAGGGATTACAAAGTTCTGTCACTTTAGATCTGGCCATTTGAATGCATGACCAGGCGGGCAGCAGCTGAATAAAGAATAACATGCATTTGACTCCAAATGATTCACTCAACTGGCATCTTATTACAGTTGTAACTCAAATGCACGGTAAAGTGGAGAATGACTGAGGAAAGTAAAGCAGATAGCATATGTCAACTAGGTGACATCCAGAATAATGAAGAGGCTCTGGGGCAGCTCACTCGCATCACTCCAGTAGTCTGAAACATCCAAAGAAGTTAAACTGGACCTTTAAACTGCATTTGTTTTGCATTGGTTTGTCTGCTACTGCAGTCCTGTTTTATGATGATGACTTGGGAGTTTTCTGATTGACCCTATTCATAATGATTTAAAGCTATCTCTATTCTTCCTTGGTCCTGAACCAAAAGTAATGTATCCTAAGTGATTTAACCATGTACTGTTTGCAAGTCAAAATGATTGAAGGATGGCTGTTTTGTAGAAACGTAATGTCTTGCTTATGGTAGAACCAGTAATTGCACAGTTCAGTTGTGGCCATGGAGGTAACATGTATCAGGTATTTTTGCATAATCCTGATTCCATTGGTTTGATTTAATTCATAACCACTTCTTTAAGAATATTAGACGATGCAGTACAGAAGCTTACACCAAGATGTAAAAGCAGGATTTATACTTACAGTTGACTGTAAATTTAACTACTCTAGACATAGGCTTGAGGTGGCCATTTACATCACCTAAGACTTCAAGAAAAACATTCTAATGGTGGCTTTCCATTGTCTTCAGTGGCTGGTGGATTAGGCCTGTAAGAGTGAAAACATAGGACTCGATTCGATGGGGGTAGTCAAGTAGTGATAATATTAATGAACATACTGTGAGAACCTGAACAAAAAGGAATTAAGAGTTCTTCTGTCACCATCTTTATCTGCTGGTCAACTTGGTGATATCTATGCTTTGCAACAGTGATTTTTAAAAATGCTATGTAGAAAAGAAGGGAAACGGAACAGCGTACTTGTGGATAAATGCTGGCAGTTACAGTCAACATCTCTTTCTGATTCAGATCCCTTATTTTCAGAACATAATCATTTGTTCAGCGGAAGAACCCATGTATGACTATATCTGGGACAAAACAGCCTTCTTCACGGATACTGTTTTGAGGGTTCATGCCTGAATTTCATGGAAGGGAGCAGCCATTCAGGATAAATCTAATTGTAGTATTACCATACTTTTGGGGTAAGATAGCTGAAGAAATCAAAGTTGTTACTGGAAAAAGAGACTACATGGAACGTCAATCAAAAACTCAAAGTAGACAAGTTAAATGCAAGGTTTGATTCTGTGTGGAAATAAAAAAACCAAACAACCAAACCAAATAACCCTTGGACCTTTCTGGAAAAGAACTATATTAGATCCCTGTTATGTACTTCGTATAAGGGTTTTTTGGAAGAAGAACAATGAGGTTTTTGTTCAAGAAGGACTTGATGTCATTGTATGTTTCCCTTCTTAGCAGGAGCAACATTTAAGACTGACGAACGGCTAATCACATTGCTCAAAGGAAATAACACATAAGTGGCAAAACCAAACCCTCAGTTAGAATGGATAATACTGCATTTTTTATCTCAGTAATTTTCTCTGTGGCATAAATCACATTTTGTCTTAGAGATTAAAGTATTAATATTTTTAAGCTAAATGATGTATTTTTCTAGTAGTTGTAAATTACATTAGTAAAATCATATTATATATGTTCTGGCTGCTTTAATGCATAAACAGGGCAGCTTTTAATACGTTGAGTTCCAAAACATTGTTTTCTTTACAGTCTGCTGTTATAAAATTCTGTTTAGTGCAGGGACAGAGAACAAATCCTCAGGACTCTCTTAACTTTTCAATCTTATTCAACATTTTCCCCTTACAGCTTTGTGTGCTATAAAACATCCATATTGCTTGACAGTTGATGCACCTTATGTATTATGTTTTGAGAGCATGTTCAGAATACCTATTTCAGTGGTTGTTATAACCTATAGTCCACAACATCTCTTATCAATACGAAAATGGTTTTAGTGACTTTTCCCCCCCTGTATCTGTGCGTAGAATGTATTAACAAAGAAGGACATTTCCAAAGGAATCTCTTAAGAGTATAGTATGCTAGATTTATTTGTTTGGGCTTTTTAAAAACAAAGGAGACCTCTATTTTCTAAGGTTAAATCACATTGAGATAATTATTTTATTTTATCTTAGCCAGGGGCTTTCTCTTACTGGTGGAGTAATGTAAGAATCATAGAAGCAATGAAGCAATTCTCTGTTTATAGGCAATGAGAAGAACTGTACATTTCCCTTCAGTAGATAGAACCAGTTTAAAACTCCTTAGAAACATCAGGAGTAATGAAAATGTGTTGTATTTTAAATTAAAGAGGAAAAGAAATCAAAGCATTCACACAGTATTTGGCAAGGCTGATATATGCCAATAGGACTTATCCTGTTGACTGACCAGTTACTGTATTCGTTCATTACTTTACCATTCATCTTGTACAGAAATTGTGCTCAGACAATTCAGTGATGGGTACAATAGAAATTGAGTAAATGGATCACATTATTGATGATCAAGAAATAATACAATTTAAGAAAATTTAAATGGATTGTGAAATCTTTACTTCATGGTGATGATAGTCGTCAATAAACACGGACAGACCAAAATAAGCCCTTTTAACAAAGCTTCATTTATATATTTATTTTTAGAGCCATACTGTCCATTTGCTTGGCTAACTGAATACATGGTATAATGAAAAAAATACTGTTCAGTATCTTCGTCTGCTGTCTGTGCATTCTAACACTTCCGTTGTGTTTTCTGAAAGCTCCAAGTATTTTTTTTACACTGAAAAAAAATACTATTATATTATTTTTGATAGTAAAATTGAAGCTGTATGTTTCCTTTTTGGACTCAACTTTGAGAAATGAAGAAAAAAAAGTCAGAAAATAATTACAGAGATGGATAGTAAAAACCAAAGAGCAAAGTTACAGGAGGTGAGTACATTAGTATTGTCATTGCTTAAAAGCATCACTCAAGACAAGCAGACTGGCTATACTGTCCC